CACAGGATTGTTCGCCTTGGAGACCTGGACACCATCATGGCCGACTTTGCTGGGCTATGATTTGCATGGGGGGGGGGACTCCTGGGGAGTTGGGTTGGAAGGGGGGGGAGGGGCACCCCTTCTAATTTCCTGTTTTGTGTATCTCTCTCTTTCTGCAGGAGGTGAGGGCCATCAACTCGGAGCTGCTGCACAAGATTGTCCACCTCAGAGACCTGGACACCATCGTGGCCAGCTTTGCTGGGCTAGGAATCCCAAACTGTGGAGGAGCTCTTGATGGGACTTACATCCTGATCCACCCCATAGAGCACCCCAGTACATAAGCAGAAAGGGCTGTAGGGCCTGGTTGACCACCCGGGGACAGTTTATGGACATTTGTGTTGGGTGGTTGGGCCGGGCTCATGATGCCCGCATCTTCTGTAACTCCTACCTGTACCACAGGCTGGAACATTCTTCCCGCAGTGGAACTTTGCAGTCAGGAACATGCAGATGCCTATGTGCACAGTGGCCAACACAGCCTACCCCCACATGCCCTGGCTCATGAAGCCCTACTCTGGCCACCTGGATACAAGCAGGAAAAAATTTAATGTGCATCTGAACCAGGCTCATTTGCAAGTAGAATGCGCCTTTGGCATCTGAAGGGGAGGTTTAGGTGCCTGCTCACTCACCTCAACATGGAGGAATGCAACATCCCTTAGGTGGTGGCCACAAACTGTGTGCTCCACAACCTGGTAGAGAAGGGAGGCCATCCTCCCAGAGTGGGGGAAACAGGCTGATGTCAAGGAGAGGCAGTTTGAGCAGCCTGACAGCTGCCATCTGCCAGGCTCACCAGGCTGGAATGTGCATCTGGGAGGCCCTGAGGGAGAGATTCTCAGAAGGAGCCCAAGGACTCTTCTCCAATGGGGTCTTGGGCCTGGCCTCCCAATACATTCCTCCCCTTCCCTAACCCATACCTATCCCGCTTTCCAGACAGTAAACACAGACACCAAGTTTTAGATTGAAAAGTAGACTGTATATTCAAAAACAAGAAAAACTGAACATGTAATAACAGGCCATAACAAAAGAACAGTGCTATTTCCAAAAATAAACTGTTTTAAATTTAAAAACATTTAACTGTGGAGGAGGGGGGCTGTAAACCTGGCACGGGGGTGGGGAGAGGCTCAGGCACAGGGTGTCACCTGGACTACAAAGTCCTGCCACCTTGGGTCTGTGGACCTAGACATGATTGGGGTTGAGTGGGACCTGGGACAGCAGGGGGCTGGGCAAGAGGGAGGGGGCTGCAGCTGGATCTAGGATGGCAGGGGATGAGGGATGGCCAGGGGGCAAAGGAGCAGATTGAGCAAGAGCAGCAGCAACAGGGAAAGGATCTGGGAAGGCCATGATCTCCTGGACTGTGGCACAGATTGTTGTGTGCTGTTGGATGAGCTCGTCCAGCAAGCGGTCATGCCACACAGCCTCTGCCCGCGTCCTCTTGGCTATGCTCTCCTGCAGTCTTTTGAGGACCCGAATGTGCTGGAGCATGAGCCCTTGATACATACGTCAGTGCCTGCGGCTTCCATTGACTCGGCTAGGTGGTGGGACAGGTGTTGCTCAACAGGCAGGGACGGCTTGTCCAGCTGTGGAGGACAAGAGGGAGAAGTGGTCAGCCATGTGTGCGCACACTGTCCCTGCTTGAGAGCACTAACTGTCCTTAGAACAGGGACGCTAATGTTTTGACCAGCAGGGGCCCTGAGGAGTCCAGGGCAACATCCTGCCCCCTCCACCCTGCCACCATTGGCAAGCAGCCCAGGGAAATGTCCAGCTACAGTGGGTTCCTAGGTGTTGGAGGGGGGCCTGGAGCAGCCTAGCCCTCCCAGGGCCCCCCCCATCCTACACCTACACGTGGCAGCACTGTCTGCTGGAGCAGTTGTTGTGTGGCACGTGCACACATGGCCGAGTGCTGTCTGCGACACTTGTCGGTCTCTGTGATGTCGTGCATGCACCCTTGTGCCTAGCCTGCTTCCTGCAGTGCCTGGCAAGTGGATGGAACCTTGGCCTGCACTTGGTCCAAGGTGTGGGGTGGTAGCCTTTGTTTCCCAGCCCCTCGGCCATCGGGCTGTAAATGTCTGCATTCCTGTGGCGTGAATGCAGAGCCTGCAGGGACAACTCCTCTGACCACAGTTCTAAAAGGGTCAGGACCTCAGCCGTTTGTGGCGTGCTTTGTGCCCCTGGGTGGGTTGTGGGATGACTCCCAGGAAGGTACATGGGGGTCTTGGGCTTGTGCCATGGCTCCTTGTCTGAGTGGCAGGGGGGGCCATGTGGGTTAATGTCTTGCTCTGGCTGGCTTCCTGCAACAATGGCTGCCCCAGGTGCCTGTGCCTTTAAGACATGGCTGCAGACAGGAACAATAGAGGTGTTTAGTGGAGATGGAATGTCCACCAGGACTTTTTCCTGCAGGACTCCCTC